GTCTTTAAATATATAATTTTGTTACCTGGTCTCCACTGTGTTGTAATTTTTGTGTTTAGATTGGAAGATCTTTGGGTCAGGGAAAGACTCAGTCTGTTGTACAGTCACACAGCCTTTTACAACTCTAATTTGTTTCTAATGAATATGGAACCAGAGTCACAGAAATATATACTATTACATATTGCACAACATGCAACTCTTAGGACCTGCTTAATTGTGGAAAGCTATAACTGGTGTAGATCTGGAGTTTGATCCTTACATGAGTGCTAACTTTCGAAGGCAGCAATTTTATAACTTATGGATTTTATTACTGCAGGATTATATTAAGAGACACTTCATTGTTCCCAAGGACTTCTGTAAGTAGAACTAAATAAAGAGTATCTTTGCCTTTTGGGGGATATAACAAGAGTGAATTGTTTGGGAAACCAGGGTTTGTGGGTAGGTGGAGATCTGGCAGTAATAAGTATTAGAATGCAGATGATGATGATTGATGATTAATGTCTCATTCTTAGGTGTTCCAGAGGGAAGGAAATGACTTGCATATGACACACAAGATCGGACTTGTTGAAGCACTGTGTGGATTTCAGTTCACATTCAAACACCTGGATGGACGTCAGATTGTGGTTAAATATCCTCCTGGAAAAGTAATTGAACCAGGTAAATCTTGATTTGCTATAAGAATTTATCTAGATACACATGTGGCTGTACTATTTGCAATGTTGTATCATCAAATTATTCTCATGCTCTTGCAACTTGTAGCCGTTGTTGTAGAAATGCAGAGACATTATATTGTCAGACAGAAAGCTGGTACAGTTTCCTTTAAACTGATTAATCTTTTTCTGCCTTTAATTATAGGTTGTGTTCGTGTAGTTCGAGGTGAAGGAATGCCACAATATCGCAATCCCTTTGAAAAAGGAGATCTTTACATAAAGTTTGATGTGCAGTTTCCTGAAAATAACTGGATTAGCCCAGAAAAACTCTCAGTAAGTATTCCTTCAGTTTAATCAAAAATGTGTGTTTGTGATTTCGTGTCTTAAGGGCTCATTGTATTGTGCCCCATGCACTTTCTTTCCAGTAGTTATATTTGGATTTGAGTACAGCCAAATTGTTCTTTCAATATAGTTTACAATGCACAAGTGATTTTAAAACCTTCCATTGAAGTTGGTTAGTTTACATGAAAAACCACAGGAGGGTTGGTGTTCTGGGATGTGGGTGTAATATAAAAGCGTTTGAAAACTCGATATAGTAGCTATTACTAGACCAGAGGACAAATGAAAGAAGGTGGCTACTGTTTTGATTTCTGACTCATCAGTTCTTGCTGACTATGGCTTTGTCTAAATCAGAAAGTTGTACCAGTTAAAAGGACTAATTTTGACCAATGCAAATTGGTGCAAACACCTGCTGAATTTTAAGATTGCTAATACATTTATGATAACTATGTAAGACATTCTTAACCTAACATCAGTGTCACCACAGGGGCTTGCACATGTTTTTAAAGAAATACCTTTTAGTTAAACTGGTGCAACTTAATCATGTAGAGATGGCCTAAGAATGAAGGGGAGATGTGTGCCAAATATTGACACCTCTGTTTTCTGATACACCACTAACTATACTTCTTTTATTGGCAGGAACTTGAAGATCTTCTGCCATCTAGACCAGAAGTTCCCCCTGTAATTGGTGATACAGAAGAGGTAGATCTCCAGGAATTTGATAACACTCGTGGATCAGGTGGTGGTCAGAGACGTGAAGCCTACAATGATAGTTCTGATGAAGAAAGCATTCATCATGGACCTGGGGTACAGTGTGCCCATCAGTAAACATTTGTCTAAAATGTTGCACAAGGATTTTCTTTCAAGTTTTGCCTGACTTGTTTTCAGCAATCCAGCTGGATTGTATAAACAATCCAGATGAACCGATGGACATCTATTGCTGTATGTGTAACCTTTAAATTGGTCTATAGTATCTACAGAGTGTATAATTTAAACTAACCACAAAGCTTACATCTTCATTTTGACTGTTCTGTAGCAGAATAAAGCACTTGAAAGGAAGACGAGACTCCTTTTCACATGGGTTTTAAGTTTGTCCTCGTATCTGTGCTTGATTTTTACCAGTTGTGTAGATTTTAAGTTTCATATTTTAAATTCAAATTCTACATTGTAAAGTTTGTGTACAACTTGTCCTGAGGCTTGGTATTTGGCTGCACCTGCGTAAGCTGCTACAAATAGAATAAAGAATTTCATAGCCTGTATCTATCATTTTAGATGCATGGTACATAAATGGGCTTTACACATAATGGGTTTAGAGCTGACTGGGAACAACGGAAGACTAAATTAGAAGTGGTTGTAAAAGTTTTTTTACCATCTTGTGAGGTTTCTGAAAGTAAATAAAGCAGTTGGTGTATAATATACTCCCTTCCCCTTGTCACACTTTTATTTATCTAAAAGGATACACTAAACTTGATTCTAATTGGTTAGTTCCTTTGTATTTGTTTTACTATACTGCCTCGGAGTCCTAGTAAAATGGCATCCTTGTACTTGACTATGTCCTGTACAACCTTCATCCCTGCCCCACAGAGTTCACAATCAAGTGAAAAACCATTTCAGTGTTGAAGTACCTCTAGCTGCATGCAGCTTTCCTTATTAATCAAAGTATTTTTGAATTTATTAACATAAGAACTGGTTGGCCTGCACACAGGTAGTTTCAATTGTTCACTAGAATTCCTTGCCTTCTAAATTTTTAAACATGCATGAAAAGACTTCACCTCTCAATATGGAGATGCTAGAAAAATAGTTTGACATCCAAAACCAAATCCTGCTTATTGTCAAAGTTTAGAATTTTGTTCCGTGTTTGTTTAACAGCTCTTGGCTTTTAGTGCCCCTTTGATATTAGGCAAGTCTTGGGATATGTCTTTGATCCACTGTCCTTAGAATAGCAACAAGGATTTTTTGACATCCTTCCAGAATTGAAGATGGGTAACTTCAAGAATTTCAGACTTCAAGACACAGAGTCTGTATATGGTCATCTAGCCTAACCCTTGGCATAAACAGACCCTTGGGGTATGTCTACACTATGAAATTAGGTCGATTTTATAGAAGTCAAATTTTAGAAATCGATTTTATACAGTCGATTATGTATGTCCCCACTAAGTGCATTAAGTAGGCGAGTGCGTCCTCACTACTGTGGCTAGCATCGACTCGGCGAGCAGTGCACTGTGGGAAGCTATCCCACAGTTCCTGCAGTCTCTGCTGCCCATTGAAATTCTGGGTTAAGCTCCCAATCCCTGATGGGGCAAAAACATTGTTTCAGGTGGTTTTGGGTACATGTCATCAGTCTCCGCTCCCTCCCTCTTTGAAAGCAACTGCAGAGAATCATTTCGTGCCTTTTTTCCTGGGTTACTCATGCAGACACCATAGCATGGTAAACATGGAGCCTGCTCAGCTCACTGCTGCTGTTGCGAGCATTGTAAACACCTCACGCCTTATTCTGCAGTATGTGCAGAACTTGGCTAACAGACTGCAGCACAAGGACAATTGGGAGGAGGACATGGACACAGATGTTCTTAAAAGTATGGGATGTGGCAATTGAGACATCATGGCAGCAGTGGGGCTGGTTCATACAGTGGAACGCCAATTCTGGCCTGGCAAACAAGCACAGACGGGTGGGACTGCATAATGTTGCCGCTATGGGATGATTCCCAATAGCTGTGAAACTTTTGCATGTGTATGGCTGCTTTTCTGGAATGCTGTGAGTTGCTTTCCCCTGCCTTGAAGCGCAGGAATATCAGGATGAGAGCTGCCCTGACAGTTGAGAAGTGAGTGCCAATAGCCCTGTGGAAGCTTGCAACGCCTGACTGCTCCCAGTCAGTCAAGAATCAATTTAGAGTGGGCAAATCTACTATGGGGACTGCTGTGATTCAAGTAGCCAATGCAATCATTGATGTTCCGCTATCAAGGGTAGCAACTCTGGGAAATGTGTGGGTTTCCCTAACTATGGTGGGGTGATAGAACGCATTTCCCTATCTTGGCACCGGACCACCTTGCCAACCAGTACATAAACCGCAAGGGGTACCTCTTAATGGTGTTGCAAGCACTGGTGGATCACAAGGGACGTTTCACTGATATCAATGTGGGATGGCCAGAAAAGGTGCATGACACTCGCATCTTTAGGAACTCCAGGCTATTTGAGCAGCTGCAAGAAGGGACTTACCTCCCAGACCAGAAAATTACTGTTGGGGATGTTGAAATGCCAATAGTTAACCTTGGTGACCCAGCCTACCCCTTGCTCCTATGGCTCATGAAGCCATACATAGGCAGCCTGGACAGCAATAAGGAGCAGTTCAACTATAAGCTGAGCAAGTGCAGAATGGTACTAGAATGTGCCTTTGGTCATTTAAAAGCTCGCTGATGCTGTTTGCTGACTAGGTTAGACCTCAGTGCAACCACTATTCCCATTGTTATTACTGCTTGCTGTGTACTCCATAATGTCTGTGAGAGTAAGGGGGGGATGTTTATGGTGGGGTGGGAGGTTGAGACAAAGGGAGAAGAGAAGGGATAAATAACAGCACACTGTAGAAATGCCTCTCCCAAAAGCATTGAGGGAAGGATGAAGAGAATCCTCCAAAGTACATACTGAAGGAGGGATTAGAGAACTAGGACAGGACAAACTTTATCTTTGCCAGACCCCACTGAATTCCATCAAGATATTTACATTGAGTTTTAATACTCATCTCTCTCATTCTAAAAATGTAGATCCATGGTTCTTAAACTGTGGGTCATGACCCCATTTTAATGGGGTCACCAGGGCCCATTGCTGGGACCCAGGGCTGAAGCTGAAGCCCAAGCTCCACCCTGACCTGGGGCAATGGGGCTTAGGCTGCAGCCCCTCTCTCCCCCAGGGTGGCAGGGCTTGGCCTGTGCCTCCTTTTCCCTCCACCCAGGCCAGCAGGACTCTGGCTGTACCCCCTCTTCCCTTCCACCCAGGGCTCAGGCTTCACAAAGGGGGGTTGTGGTGCAATAAAGTTTGAGGACCCCTGATGCAGATGCTTTTGCTGCTTGTGTCATGTTATTGATGTTATGTTTACTCGTTGGAATCAAGATAATGCAGCATCTTTACAAGTACTCAGCATAGGGAAATAGAACATGATTGATTGCTATTTAAGAGCCTAGATTCCCACCCATGCACTGAAAATGGTATTGATCAGCTCTGGTTGCTAAGTTAAGCATAAATAATAGTAGTACTCATGATACTTGTGTTTAAATGAGCAGTCTTTTTTTTTTTAGAATGAACTGACGTGCACATGACTCCCTCTCTCTACAGCTTCTCTAACATCAATGCTTAAGCTCACACTGCTTGTTTGAGTACATCAAGTTTAAACATGTAAACATATACTTCCCTAGCAACAATTGTACAGCATTTTGGTTATATGGATTTGGGTAATGACTTGTAAAAGAAACAGGTTAAAGATAAGCACTAAGTGTTGTAGGATAAATTATCCTAACAAGCATGATAATGTCACTTTATGACAATTTGGGTCCACTAGGATTAAACCGCATAGATTGTATGTACCTACTCGCCATCCATGCCAAGTTATTCATCTTTATCTTGCCCAGCTGTCAAACACCCTCACTATGCCTAGACCACAAGTGTATGTCTACACTTAAAAATGCTGCAGCTGCACCTTGATATAACCTTTGAGTGTAGACATTAACTATGCCAACACAAGAGCTTCTCCCATCAGCATAGGTAATCCACTTCCCTACTAGGCAGCACCTATGCCAACAGAAGAATTCTTCTGTTGACCTAGTGTCTGCATTAGGAATTTACAGCAGTATAGCTGTATCTCAGTCCTGTGGATTTTTCACACTTCTGAGAGAAAATTACGCTGATGCAAGTTCCTAGTGTAGACCAGGGTTTAGTGTATTGCTACCCCATACAGAGGGATTAAAAGCTTCTGTCAACCCTAAGGAAACATTTTAAAGAATATTCTGGTAAATGTTGTATAGTTATTTTACTTTACTCATGTACACTATATTACTGCAGGTATTTGAGCACCTAGGAGCTTATCATGACTGATCAAAATTGAGCTGTTCTAGCTACTCACTGTAACTCCTTTCCCATCCCTCTGTGAGCATAAGGATTTTTTTTTAATTCATCTTCCTCTTCCCCCTACTGCATTACCCTACTACCACCACATAGTAGGGCTGCAATTTCTGGAATAGATAAGAAAAAGGAGGTCTTGCATTTCTGAAATTAATGGCAAGATGTGTGGTAATATCTTCTCAGAACTTCCACAGCTGTAGAACAGCTACAGAGAAAGCTGAAACCCAGTTTCATACATCTGTGGACAGTTATATGCTTCTTGTTAAGGTGGAGGAGATGGCATTATTGACATGGCTTGGATCATCTTGTGGAGGGTCTTGGAAATCAGGATATGGACAGTTGGTTTGTACTAGTATTGAATGTGGCAGTCACTAGCTGTAGGATTGTTTTGACAGATCACAAGTACCAAAATTCTGACTTCCCCCACTTTTACCTTCAGTCTTGTCTGCAGCTGGACTTGTTCCTCATTTATTCCCAGAGTAAGAGTGTCCACCTACAGGGTTAATCAGGAAAATCTCCATGTGTAGACAAGCCCTCAGAATGGAAAGACAAAAGGTATAAGAAAACTACCCTTAAAAGGAATGAAATAGTAACACAGAGTCTGTCACCACTAACTCTAGGAACTATATGGCCAAGGTTGAAGCTCTTGCAAACTTTCCTGAGACTCAGGAGGAGAACATAAACTCTGATAATAAATTAACCAACTCTTCCCCCTAATGCCATGGTAATCACACCCAACCTAACAGCGAGAATACAATTTTTTATATTCTCATTAACTTCCCAACATTCTCTTTTGTTAGTGTTTGAGAGTGTGCAAAGACTGTTTCCCTTTGATTACAATTGCCTTATTTTCATCGCTATTTTCTACACTGTAAAATTATCTAGTTTCTTTAACTGGAACATGTAACCAGAAGGGGAAGTTGTTATGTACATAGTTTTATGACAGAAAGCAGATGCCTCTTAAGTAAAGATTCTAGGGGGAAAGGGTCACTAGTGACACAGAAGTGTCAAAAGCTGCACTAAGAGGTAACGTGACAAAATTTCCTATGCTCTTAAAGATAAAGTTAGCTCAGCCTTTCCACTCGTAATCCTCTCCCACTAGAGGACAGAGATTGCCATGAGGAGCACTAGGTCTGTACAGAGGCAAAGTACTAGGAAAGTCCCCTAGTTTTAAAGCACTACTCCAGCAGCACAGCATTGCCTCTCACCATACTTAAACCTATGCCTATTTCCAGTGAAGGAATTACTCTAGGAAACATGCAGAATAACTGTACATTTAAGGGAAACCAGAGTAAAAAGCCAACACAGGACCCTTGCTAAAAGCAAAGGGAAGTGTAAGTGAACCACTGGAGTTCTCATGAGACTGATCAGGCTGCAGTCCCTCTCTTATTCCAACACAGACCCTTGTGTTGAGGCCAAGCTCATCTCAGCAGCTTAGGTTGTTGTAAGAAGCAACACTAAAGTTTAGCTAGTAGATCATGCTTCTGTAAGTTATGCTCCAAACATGAATGGAAGTGATGGCCAACTATGCAAAAAAAATTGGTTGAAAGTCAAATGAAGTGGAAGGTTTTAACATATATAGACTGTCAAAGTAACTATCCAGAAGATTGCTATTTTTTACTCTTGAACTGCTAAACAATCCAGTACTAGTTTTACACTATTGCCCTCCTAGTTATCCGATAGCTTGATGTCAGAGGGGAAAAAAAAAAACCGAATAAGAAACAACCCTATGAATCTGAAGAGCTTCCTTGAATATGGAGGCTTCTTATAATCAAGATTGCTAGGGACAACTCTTCTTTGGATCAAGAGGGAAACCTGAAGTGGTTGAGGAGATCCTGTTGATTAATTCTAGGCTTATTCACCCCATAACGGTTACAAGATAAAGTACTGGCAACTTGTGTCAACATAGTACACACAACTGAAGCTTCAGAGTGCTGCATCAATGAGTTTTGAAACTGAAAACTTTAGGAGAGCTGCAAAGATGAATTTAGGGAAGCTTAGTGAGAAACTGATCTGATACAGTTGAGCCCGAATGCCTTTCATTTAACTTCGGGTTTTACTCAGAGTGTAACCTGGTCTTAGTCACGTGACTATGGGCTAGACTACAGAAATACCAAGACAGCCTAACAGGAGAGTTTAGAGTGACTTCTACCCTTCTTTAATTTACATTACACCCTCACTGCCCATCCCAGTATACACATTACAAATGAGACTTTCACATAGATTGGTCTAAGTAGGTCTAAACGAATGAGTTTATATCACCTTGCATCATCTTGAATTGGTGCTTAGCACTAATGCTGCACAACTTCAGAAGGATGGGAAATAGTTCGGATAGAACAGATGTATTTTACTGTATAATCCTATGTATATTTTACTGAGCACAGGAGATCAAAAATAGAGATTAGCAATCTGGAAAGGATACCAAGTTGTCCCTTCTTTAAACTAACATGAATAGGAAGCAGTCTTATCTTTCAGTTAAGGAAGCAACTGGTAACATGGCTTTGAGCTTGTAAAAAAACATACAAATTTTACAGCAATGTGATCATTAAGTCTTTCTATACATAGAAAGTTAAATATGCAGTATAAAACTTTATTAAAAAAGATATTAAGTTCCATGTCAACATTTAAAACAGACAAGTGGTAATTGCACAGAATATTTATATAATACACAACAGAGAGAACACAAGATATACACGTAGACTCCATTAACTTGGTTTAACTGTTGCTTTTCCACATAAAACAGTCAACTGGCTCTGGGGGGAAAGAAAGCCATTTTAGACCAATTTTATTGGCAGACATTAAAACTAGAGTTGTTTAAACTCTGCAAGGCAGCTAAATTGAGAAGCAAATCTTCAGCAGTAGAGTAGTAGGTTAACATACAGATTAGCAGAGAGGGCAGAATAATCTAGCTGCTGCCCCGTATTTAGCTTTTTAGAAATGCCTCCCCACCCTGTGCTTGCAATAGAGGCAGAGGCATGTCATATTGTAGCTGTCAAATCTTCAGTCTGCTATAATTCATATAACTTAAAGTAAGGTCCCACCACCTACAAGGGTGGGTCACTTTTCCATATAATACTCATTACCTACTTATAACTATGGATATTTCAACTGTATTTCTAATATTACATATTAGCCAGATATTAGACTCCCTGTTACAATAACCTCTTGGAAGAGGGCCACTAGCTGGCATAAAATTAGTAGTGATGTTTAGCAGCAGAGTACAATTTATCTCCTGGAGAGGGGTATATAAGCACACCTTTATAATGTAGGGGAAGGAGTTATTGTCCAAGCTTAGTACAGATTTGATGGGACCCCTATAGTTCTTATTCACAGAGTGAGGTACAATTCCCTCCATCAGTATACATGATGTGAAACTTGCTGTCTGTTTTGATTTGCAGATTGAGTCACGGATATTAGTGAGAAAAGCAGAGTTTCCTCACACGGCAGACAGACAGACATGAGGAGGAGAAGACAGACTTCTGCCCTTTCTTTAGAAGCAATGTCACTGACAGGACTCAATAAAATAGACCTAAACAAAGGCTGTCTCTTCCTAGTAAAGGAAAAATGTTGCTTCAAGTAAGTTAAAGTTGAAGCAACATTTCTCCCTTACTAGAAATAGTTTGCTCCTTGCATAGATGATTTGAAGACTAAGTGCCAGGACTTCTGTGCAATCTTAGACTATTTACAAATTACTGGTTCTGTAAACTTACCACTAGATTATGAATATGCTGAACTGTGTCATCATTAAGCATCTCGACATTGATGTTATGGAGGTCTTCACCAGCAGAACAGAGAGTCTGAGCATAATCACAAAGTGATTAATTGAGATAAAACTATTCAGCATGTTTCACGTGAATCACCATATCCGTTTTTCTTACAACCATGCACTGAAGTTGAGTTGAGGCATATGTTTAACAGCTTTATTGGCTAAAAAAACATTCTGCCCAAAAAGTGTTAGTCTGCACGTCTCCTTCCAACTTATCACTGGCTTTAGTTATGACTGACATCCTGAACACAAGATAATGGCCCATTAAACTAGAGTTACTGCTGGTCAAGGAGCCAAATCTAAGTGGAAATAATTCAAGAAACAAGAGTTCTCAGCACACCCAGGGCACAGTGAGGTGTCAGTCTTGTTAGCTAACCAACATCCATCAACTTTCACAGCCAGAATCCCATCTTTCAAAGTCAGCAGTAGTGCAGACTGAAACAAGTAATTCACAGAAGTTTCTTTAGCCCAAATTCAGTTATTTTAGACTGTACAGCCTAGTGAAGGCGTAGGGGAAACACAGTAACTCCTCACTTAAAATCATCCCAGTTAACGTTGTTTCATTGCTGATCAATTAGGGAACATGCTTGTTTAAAGTTGTGCAATGCTCCCTTCTAACGTTGTTTGGCAACTGCCTGCTTTGTCCACTGCTTGCAGGAAGAGCAGCCCGTTGCAGCTAGCTGGTGGGGGCTTGGAACCAGGGTGGACTGGCAGCCCCCCATGAGCTCCCCCCTCCCTTAAGTTCCCTGTGCAGCAGCTGCCCAGCAGGCTATCAATTGCAGCTGTCCCTCCCCCCACTACCATGTGCTGCTCCTGCCCTCTGCCTTGGAGCTGCTCCCTGAGACTCCAGCTTGCTGTGCAGGGGGAGGGAAGGAAGAGGGGGGGCTAATGTCAGGGGTGTCCCCCTGCTCCTGCACCCCACTTACCCCATCTTCCATAGAGCAGGGGGGGGGACACACCACAGGACTCAGGACAGAGGAAGCTTGCTGGCAGCTGCGGTCTCAGCAAGCTGATCTAATTAACAAGGCAGTGTACTTAAAGGGGAAATGCGCATCTCTCTCACACAGTCTGTGTCTGTGTGCAATCCTCTCTCCCCTCCCTCCATTCCTGCTGCCTTGTAGACCGTGAGAGTTAACCCCTGAAGGCTCAGCAAATTGCTAGTTCATCATTTAGCAGGAAGGCATTTCCTGGAAAATATCCCATCCTCTGACTCCTCCACCTCAACCAACCTTCACAATCATCATTACTGTGTACCAATATTAAATGGTTTAAAATTTATATTGTGTGTGTGTGTGTGTATATATATATATATATATATATATATATATATATATATATAAGACAGTCTTGTCTGGTGAAAAAAATTCCCTGGAACCTAACCCCCCCATTTACATTAATTCTTATGTAATTGGAGTCACTTAACATCGTTTTGCTTAAAGTCACATTTTTCAGGAACATAACTACAACGTTAAGTGAGGAGTTACTGTATGTCAAATGCTTATTTCACCTCACTAGTCCTTGTCAGCATAGTCATTGGTATGATACCTAGAAACCTTCATCATATGTCCAAGTGTTCGGACAAGATTCTAAGTCATTTACTAGACTGACACTAATGCAATATTTAGCTGTTACCACTCAAGAAAGATCTTAGCATCATTATGTATAGTTCTCTGAAAACATACACTCAATGTGCAGCAGCAGTCAAAAAAAGCAAACACATTGTTGGGAATTATTAAGAAAGGTGTAGCTAATAAGACATAACATATCATATTGCCTCTCTATAAATCGATGGAATGTCCACATCTTGAATACTGCATGCAGATGTGGTCATCCCATCTCAAAAAAAGATATTGGAATTGGAAGAGGTACAGAAAAGGGCAACAAAAATGATTAGGGGTATGGAACTGCTGCCATATGAGGAGCGATTAATAAGACTGGGACTTTTAAGCTTGGATAAAAAAAGATGTCGGGGGAGGGGGGGTATGATAAAGGTCTATAAAATCATGACTGGTGTGGAGAAAGTAAATAAGGAAGTGCTATTTACTCCTTCCTCTAACACAAGAACTAGGGGTCACCAAATTAAATTAATAGCAGCAGGTTTAAAACAAACAAAAGGAAGTATTTCTTCACACAATGCACAGTCAACCTATGGAACTCTTTGCCAGAGGATGTTGTGAAGGCCAAGACTATAACAGGGTTCAAAAAAAAGAACTGGATAAATTCATGGAGGATAGGTCCATCAATGGCTATTAGCCAGGATGATGTCCCTAAGCTCTGTTTGCCAGAAGCTGGGAACAGGCAACAGGGGATGGATCACTTGATGATTACCTGTTCTATTCATTCCCTCTGGGGCACCTGGCATTGGCCACTGTCAGAAGACAGGATACTGGACTAGATGGACCTTTGGTCAGACCCAGTATGGCCATTCTTACGTTGTTATAATATGGAAAGTTAATAGAAATGTTCACTTCAGAAAGTGACCATTTTGAAGAGACATTTTGTTTACAAGCTGCTCACTTAACTGTAGCAACTACTACTGCTAGCAAAGACCGGAAAAAAACATTTTCCAGATACCCCTTTGTTTATATATTTGCCAGAGACAGATTCATCTAAAGCAAGTGAAACTGAAAAGTTAAGGTTTACTACCTTTCCATCAGCCAGAGGTATATTAACAAATGGAACAGCTTTTTCCCGAGGCACTGAGTTACTTCTTAGTGACATGGCTTGGACTTTTTCTCTCATAGGTACAGTTCTTGAGACAGCCATTTGTGGTAATCTAGAAGTGGAATACAAGAACAGAATTTCACTTCTAATAAATTGCATTTTCATGTCCTACTGAGAGCCATTAGAGCCAATGTGATTCAGTAACAGCCAGCTTCGTAATTGGTGCACTTAATGGATGCTCATTTTCTACTTTGTTCTACAAACCATTTAGAATCAACACTAAAGAAAACCCAAACATGTTAACATCTTGAAGGTAGTAGTGTTTATTGGCACCACCAGGTAATATTTTGCCATTCTGGCAGAGTGCAATACAACTGAGAAATTCTAAGCCAATGATCAATCTTTAGTTGGGATTGGACATTTACATGGAGAAGAACAGTCTCCAGTTATCACAGTGAACTGTAACACAAACTGATGCTTTAGGGTGAGTAAGCCAATTTAATTATTAGGGTGTAGGAAAAGACTCGTTAGCAACAGATTATCCAGGACTGTACTACTGCAGGGTTTCTTGCACCTTCCTCTGAAGCATCTGATGTTGGCTACTTTCAGAGGCAGGAGACTGGAGTAGGTGGATGACAGGTCTGACATGGAATTCCTATATTTCCCTTGTATTTAAAATTATTTTGTAGTGTAGTCAAAGGCAGGCTCCAATATTTGAGAGCAAGTATAATGTTTTAGGCATCTTTAACCTGAAAGAGAGACGCTTGACACAATGGCATAATAATAGCAGGCCAGGGTAATGCTGTGAACCACTTTGTGGCTTCAGGGCTGATTTTAGCTATCTTACTGTAAAGGATTTCACTTCATTCAGCAGGTTGTGTTTGCCAGAAGCAAGTTCAGAATTACCAGTTTTAAGAATCTTTCCAGCTACAATGTATAGTTTAACCTATTAGAAGTATTTGTATGAATTTATACTAAATGTTGCAAGTACTTTCAACCAAGAGTGAATTATTTCAGCTAAATTAGAGTGCTGAAAACTTGTTTCTAAACTGCTGTGTTTCTGTAAACTATAGTCAACACGTAGAGAAAGCTAGTAGTTGGCGCCCCATTAAGCTAACTTCAGAAGGTAACCTTAACTATGAAAACAGCCAGTACCTCCAGAATTTCAGCACAAGTATAAACTGTATCCACTTCAGTCTCTTCCCCAACCCTCCTCCATGAACAGGAACCCTTTTACAGATAGAAGCCACCTTCCTTTCCTAAAATCCTACAGTGGCAGACACTGTATTTACAAAGATCTTCACACTGTCTTGTTCAAAGGAGCATTCCTTATTTGGTATCCAGATATGTATGGTAGTAAGAGTTTAAAAAGAAAAGAGATCAGTTGTGCTATGACCTGAAAGGCCTACCTTCTAGAAACACGTGGAGCAGATTTATAGTTTGCAGCTGTGCGATCAGATGTAGGAGCCTTAAAATGCCTCACATTTGGAGTAGAGCATGCAGATCTGCCAGAAAAACAGCATTTGCTTTTACATGGTACAGTACTTTTAGTCTAGAGAATTCCAGTTACGAAGCAGATATTTTAAATTCCCTAAGCAGAAGACTGGTAAGTTAGACAATGTTACAGTACTTTGTAGTTATCTAGTTAGTGTTGCTTTAAAATTAAAAAAAAAAAACGGCAGGGTGGGGAGGCACAGCAATGGTAAAGTCCTTTACACAGTAAGATATCATCCACCAGAATCTAGCCTATGCAAGTAGAGGGGGCTAGAAGCAATATAGGATTATTTGTATTAGAAACTGGCTGAGAGAGCACAGTGATCTGGACACAGTTAAGCGAAGGTTCCTATTCAGTCTCCTGGCAATTTTAATCAAAAGTGGAGGGAGTTTTCCTACGATCAGTTCTCACAAGAATTATTGAGAGGCCACATCCGAACCAGAGCCAGAGAACAGCCACTTCCAGTTTTGGATCCTAATGGGCGCATAAAGATTGTTTTAGAGCTAGGGATTGAAGCCCTCCCCACACACACAATTGAGAGAGAGAGAGAGAGAGAGAGAGCTAGCTTCAGGACCTGGTGTGAGCAAAATGCTACTCAACATTAGGGAAAAGCCATGCACCAGAGACTGATACAACAGGTTTTGCCTATCCAAGGAGCTGACTAGTTTTACAGGTCAATTTTGTGGATTTGAAGATTATCTGTAATCCTAAATTAGGAGTCTGAATAACTAAACCTAGTTAAGGCTTTCTAGTTTTCTTCTCATGTACAGTATGAGTTGATTCAACATCTAGAATACACTTTAGAAGAGGATAGAAGGTGTATGTTGAACTAGTAGACATGTTCAGATGCTTAAAAAATGAACAGTTGCAATACATAATTGCACAGATTTTTATACCTATTTGACTGGAGACATCAGTTCCTCTGACTCACAAATCAAAGAGTAGACTTCGGCTCATCTTTGCTATAAGTAGCTCAAATAGATATTCCACTACGGATATTGATGCAAATCCCTTTCAGATGTTAAAATTAGCAGAAGTATTACTGTATAGTTTGTTATTCTTGTTAACTGAAGCATGTCAGGTTACCTAAAGGCTACTTTCCTCCATTAAACATAGTCTGCAATTAAAGATTAACTAGATATTTTTATATTACACACACAATTGGATGCACAAGTGTATATATTCAAATGGATTGCACTATATCCCGTTAGCAGCCACCCCATGGGGGTCAGGGGAGAGAAGGGAAGAAGAGGCGGAAGTTATCTGATTAAAATTTACTTCAGTAGAGTAAATCACATAAAATCTGATCCAGCTTGTGTAATGTTCATTAAATGCTTTCTTCTTAGCAGAGTTAAAAATCACGGTGAATTCTTTGAAAAGCTACTCAGTCCAAAAAAATTACAAAAACTACTATAGATCATAGTCATACCTAGAAAGAGAGTGGTTTTCTTTGAGATGTGTGCCAGAAGCTAAAGAAACCAGTGATTTTGTTTTGGACACCTTAAAACAAATAAATAAAAAATTAAGCATTGTTAGAATAAATGACATTAAATGTAATAGGACTGAGACTTTCAGATGACGAAGACTTAAAACTCCTAAAACCCATGTTGAATAGGGAATTATACTCACTTTACAGATGAGTAAACTGAGGAACATGAAATCCCTATGCTATGGCTTCATTGTACAGAATGGTTTACTGTCTTGCTTGTCCTGACAGGTCAGTACACCACATAACACTGTTTTTGAAAGCCATTTTGGCACATCTACACACATGCTTGTACCACTAGATCAAGTCTTTTTACTGGATGTGGGGGAGAAGACCCATGTCATAATGCCCAGTTGAAACTTGCAAGTCATTGAGCAAAATCAAGTCACTGAGTTGTGAGACAGAGTTAAGATTGGATAAGTTGATGCAGATGCAATGCTTTTTATCACTGTTGGTCTCTAAAAACAACCCATTCAAATATGGGGAGCTATCTACTGAACACAAGGTGGGCATCAAACAAACAGAAAAATCAAGTTAGGGACTTTAAAGTCCCACCATATCCTCTAATGATTCAGCAGGATGGACCCTTACCAAAGAGCAACAGAGGGT